CCTTCGGGCTGGGACACGCGGGAGTCAGCGGGGGCTGTGGCCAGCCCTGCTCGCCCCGAACACACAAGTCTCAGCAGCCCATTGCCACGATCAGCCGGCCACCCTTACATCTCTGCTGAAGCCACTAGTCAAGATGCAACAAATGAAGCCAGTTTCGTTATTAGAACACAGTGTAAATGTTGAAAGCGTTGACAGATTCAGTGACTGTTAATGTCCTGGTTCCCCAGATACATTTTGTAATTCTTCTGCATAATTAGCCAATACTGTTGTCCTCATTTTGAAATGGTTTTCTCATCCCTGAGAGAAACTGTAAAAAAGTCCCAACGCAACCAGCACAGAAACCTCCTCCTGCGGGGCAATGCTAACTGCTGTTAAGCCTGCCATTAAACTAGTAAGGTGAAGTACTGTTCAAATAATTTAGATATTGCTTGTAACATAGTAGCCTGAAAATATAATCTTTTTAGATTTAACTGTAAACAGTGCTAATTTCTGCAGCTCTCAATCTTTTAACAAAAAACAGAGTCTCCAGTTCTCCATGACTGGTCCTTAGCTAGCTAAGTCAACATCATTTACCATCTGTGAATAAAATACTCGTTGTAGTGTGCATGTGCTTCTGCATTTCCTAGGAGCCCTACAGGAAAATACAACTTACCTGTTGGAAGGTACCACGAAGGAAAACACAAAGGTTTTCCAGCCATATTCAGAACAGTTATCAGTGGGTCGGTGACAGGGGTGGATATAGGAAATGGGTTCCCCTCAAAGTCTGTCTTGGATCCACCACTCTTCAGTATATTCATTAGTGATTCGAACAAGGAATGAGGGGGAATGTCGTTAGTTCAGCAGGAAGCAGCAGCGTAGGAGAGGTGAGAGGTGCTCACTGAGACAAGAAATCAGAACGAGTCCGGCAAGCTTCCACTGTAGTGTGAAGTAAGATGCTCTTTAATGAGAATTGCAAAATACTTCTCAGAATGGGAATAATTAGCAGAATTTTTGTTGAAAAGGGCATTAAAAATATTAACAACTGGACATGAGTCAACTCATCCTGTGATGTATCAACAGGAGTGTCCCAGGAGCTGCAGTAATCCTCCCAATCTGATCAGCCCTGGCGATGGCTTGGCCATGGCAGCTGTCTCTAGCACGGGGGCCCAGGCGCCAGGGAAAGAGCTTGGGAGGGACCGGAGAAGATGGAGAGGAGGGAATCCTCAAAGGGCCTAGAGCCTGCTTTGTGAGGAAAGGCAGAGTATTGTATTCGTGCAAAGACGAGAGAGATGGTAGATTTCTGACAATGTGCTGCAAAAGGAAGGAATCTGTTATCCGCATCCACAGAGTCTTGAGCTACCATCCCAGGTAGAGCAGTTTACATTAGACCCTTATTATTAGTTGGGGCATCTAAGCCCTGGCACAGCATTTATCATAGGGAGTCCCTGTCACTGAAAAAGACAATTTGTCAGGAACATTGTACACTCTCAAGCATGTAGGCCAATAAGAACTGACAAACTTACAGTCGCTTCCAGTTCACTTCGATTTCATAGAAAATTGCCACAGGATTTGTGGCTTTTGGTTTCAAGTAGGTATAAAAACTAATTGGTATAAAACCAGTAAACTTCGTAGAAGGAAATGTGACTAAGATTTTGAAGCAAGATGAAAAGGGCCAGACCAGGCGTCACACCTTTCTGGCAGGCTCTGGTCTGCGGGCCTCCTGCGGCTTCCTCCGTAATTTCCATAAGCACTAAATAGACTTAATGCTTAGAGGGAAATAAAAGAGTACTTTAATAATAAACTACCTGATAAATTTCTTGAAATGTGTTTGTGATCTTGAGGTTTTATCAGTTAACATTTAATGCATTTCACCTTCCAAATCCCAGTCCCATTTTAAAACTAGCTTGGGATGCTCAAAACTTACGGGTCTCTTCCAATGGTAGAAACATAGAAAATACTTGTGATTTTTAATAGAAGTGGGCTTAGTTTTTTGTTTTTACCTACAGTAGTCGTAAAAACAATTTTCTTGAAACTTAAGTGTGTTTATTCCCAAACCAAGCAATCCCAAAAGCTAAACTCTGGCCTACGGCCTTAGCCCGCATTCCTAACTCAGAGCAGCGTGTGCCACAGACGCAGGGTCACTGTTGCCCTCTCAGGACGAGTGAGACCTCGCCATTGCAGGGGGCCCCTGGTTTGGTTTTTGGAGCATTGTCTTATTGTTGCAACATCATCATTTTGTTGTGATTCTGTTGTGTTCAGAATCTTGTGAGGAGCAGTTGTGTGGAGGCAGGGAAAGTTTGACCGTGGTCCTGTATAACCTTACCTGTATAACCACCCTCCTGGTGCTCTTGAAAACTGTAGATGAAAAGCACAGGATTCTGTCACGTTACAGCCAAAATCTCCTTTGGTCAGAACTGAACGATCTCTTACACCATACTTGTACAATTTTGCCTCCCTTAATGGTCCTAAAAACTTCATTAAATCAGTGTCTAGGATGGGTTTTAAAAGAGCTGTTATTCCCTCCAAATTTAAATACAGACTGTCTTTTAAAAGTATTACATTTTGGCTATCCTTATGCAAAATTTCAAAAAAGTAAACTTAGCCTGTCCTTTGACAAGGTTTTTGGGTTCCTTTACCTTTCAGGCATGAAGTCTGTGTATTTCTAATACAAGTTGAATCCAAGACCATGTTCAAGCAGAACATGTTCACTACTACAGACGCTGGAACAAAAGCAGTGTAAATACACTGGATTCTGTCGTAGTTCTGCATTTTTGGATGAGTGTTTTCAACTAAACAGTGTGATGGGGTTTTGATGTAGATAGGTGAATGCAGCCTTCTCTAACCCTGAAATACTAAGTTGTGGAAATGGTAGGGAAAACAGTTGTAGGGAGAAAAAAACAGCATAAATTCACAGTGTGGTAACAGAAGAGTAATGCTGTCATTTCTGTTGTTATTTCCAGATAATAAAATTACCCAGTGGGAAGACCCCAGACTGCAGAATCCAGCAATCACTGGTCCAGTAAGTACTGCTATGGTATTTTTCCAAGACATGCGGTGACTCACGTGGGTTTGAGTGGGCAGGAGGTGTCGCCCAGCAGCGGGCTGTGCCCCCCTGCCTGGCCCGGCCTCTTGCCGACGGACGGGGAGCTCGGGGCCAGCCTGCCAGCGAGCCCCAGAGCGGTGCCTCGCCCTGCACACGAGGGCCCTGGGGACGCTTCCAGCCGCGCTGGGCTGACAGCCCCGCAACGCCAGGCCCTGCGGCTGTGCGCCCCCCCCCAGCTCAGCGGGCCAGGGGCGAGGGAATCCTGACAGGGCTTTGCTGGGCTGATTGTAATTTTTTATATTGCGTTACTTGTGAGGGAAGGCCCATCACTCAGAAGCTGCACAGCTGAATGGTCTGATGGGCGTTTCACGCGCTGAAACGCACAGAAACCCATCGTTTCTCATTTGTTCCGCTCTCCTCCTGCAACCCGAAGCTTTCCACACTGAGCGGTGACCGTGAATGGGGTTACTGAAAGATCTGTTACCAATGTGATCCCTGGCTGGAAAGTAAAAAAATTTAAGATTTCAGCATGGTTCTTACTGTTGTATTTGCTGCTTACTGTGATGATGAAAGTCCAGGACAAAAGTAGTAGAGTGGTATCTTTAGCTTACTTTTGACATCCAAACAGATGAATTGGGGGGAAAATGTGATTTTAAATTGATTACATCTAAAATATAATGTAAGTGTAACGTTCTGATTTTTTTCCTTCTCCACACTTCCTGATACTATAAATTTCTTAGTGTGGAACAAACAGTATAAAATCTTTTGCACTCTTCAGCTTGTTGCTGTTGGTTAGTCTAACTCAGGTCCTTGTGGCTGTCCCACCCGAAGGCCGAGCGAGGCAGGTTGCAGGGTCAGGGGTGGGGCTGGCGTTTACCCGCCCTCCTGGGTGGCCGATGCGCTCCGGCGCACAGGGCTCTGCTGGGGACGGGCAGCGGCAGAGAAGGGCACCGAGCTCTGACCGAGCGCCCGGGGGTCGGCGAGCGGAGTGATGGCAGGCAGGGCATTCCCCTCGCCCCGTGCTGGCAGGAAGGAGCCGCACAGATAAAATAAAAATGTCTTTCAAAACTCCAAGAACCTTTGTTGAACCTTGACTTGTGCATGCCTGGAATCATCCCCAGAGGCCTTCCAGGTATCTGGAAGTCCACATCAATATTTCAGAGACCTGTGGCATTTGTTAAGGGGTCTTTACAGATGCCCGACACCAGTTTCCAACTCTGCTGATTAATGTAATCCTACCATCCTTCGCTGTGAATTTTTTTAACTTCTAAAATTGTTCTCTTATGCTGCTGTTACTTAAAAATGCAGCCTAACTCACAGGCAGCTGCACTGAGTGAGATAAACATTACACAGGGACCTGTACTTCATTCAAAAGAATGTTAATTTGTTTATGAAACGCTTTCAGATGCTGGATTAAAGACATTATGAATGTGTATGTTTTCATACTAGTTTTGATATAGTTTGGTAACTATTAAGGATTAGATTTATTCACATGGGCTGAACAGATGATTTCTAGCCATGGATGTTCCCGCTGTGTAGGTACACACTGTGTCCTGCACTATTTGGAGAGCAGACAGGGGCTGTTGGTGGTGTCAGAACTTTACTGGAGCCCATTAACGTGTTTTTAGGTTCATTTTCAAAATTCTTTGAGGTTTGTGTCTTTTGAGTAGCACCTAACAACACTTAGTGCTTTCAGCCATGCAAATCCACACTCTGTGCTAACACCAGGCATTTTTAAAATTCCGTATCATATGGCATGCTCTTAAGTTCCTTATGAGACACATGGATAGCAGCAATACATTCCATATTTTTTTGTCTGTGTTAAAAATTGTTTTTGCTCTTTTCTGTTCCTAAAAGAAAAAAAAATGAGGGTGAGTAGCTGATAAACAGAAGAACTGGGTCGAAAGTTTTCATACCTTTTAACTCAAATTATACACTGAGAAATGGGAAGATTTTAGTTGCTCTATGTACTTTGTGCATGGTGGATTTTATGAGATGAACCTGTGGCATACATATATAGATAGTGTGTCTTTAAATAACGTTGGAATATCAAACTGCTAAATAGCTGGAATAAACGGTGTTTATGATTCTCTCTCCGATAGGCAGTTCCGTATTCCAGGGAGTTCAAACAGAAATATGACTATTTCCGGAAGAAGCTAAAGAAACCCGTGAGTAGAAACGTGCTGCTTTGTGTTGGGATCAGTTATGCTGTGTCTGGGAGAAACCACAGATTGTCCTGAGCACAGCTACAGAGCGGTGCTGTATCTTGCTGTGACACCTGCCAAGTTTTCTTGGTTGTGCCGCTCCTAAAGCGGTTATGTAGGAACCAGAAAAGAGAAGAAAAGTTTGGATTTGATTGATTTCTCAACAAAAACATTTACAAAACTTTTAAGACTCATGTTTTCCTGTTTGAATGCAAAATCAGAGTGGCGAGGCAGCAAGGAAGCAGCAGCCCCTCTCCATCTCCCATCACAACTGAGACTAGTGGGTATGTTCACAAGCGTTAGGTTGAAGATAGGCTTGAGGGCTGATACTTGTCATCCTCGGCCGTGGGCTGCGAAGGGCAGCGCTGGAAGGAGTTGGCAGAGCAGAGCCCACAGTGGTGCTGGATCTGGCACAAGCTCCTAGTGTTCTTGTTCTGGGAAAAAGGTATTTCCGGTAACATCTTTAATGTGAGAGAGCCCCGAGTAGGAGCTTGCCTGGGACACTGGCTCGTAATTAACAGTAAACAGCCTCGGCAACACCAGCTGTAATTCCAAGAGGCACTTGCCATTGTCTTCACCTGTTTGTTGACAGCAGCTCGAATTTTCACCCCGAGTTTGGCCGGTGATTGCACACAATGAGCACCTCAGCTGGCAGGAAAAAGCAAACCTTCTGAAACAACTGTATGGAGTCGATTTTATCAGGAAAACTATACATGGCTGTGCATCTGTTCATCCAGTCGTCTTTCTACAAATTCTCACCTTGGTTCTCTTCTCTCTTTTCTGAACTGAGCTCCCTGGGCTAAATCATAATGGTCGTGTGCTCCCTCCTGTTCAGACCTCCTAAAACATCTGGGCAGCCCCTTCCCTGGCTGTTTGCTAACAGCTGTAACTCGGTTCTCTTGTGTGTAGGGCACTGTAGGTGTTCTTGTTATGGAACTGTTCTGGCCTTTACAGATATGTGAGTAAAGCAGTTGCACAAATCTTGTGCATTTGTTACCATCTTAAGCTAAGAAGCCCTTAAAAAAGACCACAGTAGTATCAATTTTTTTTTTTTTTTTTTTTTTTTTTGTGGTTGGTTTGTTACTTTTCTTGTTGTTTTCATTGTTTTGTCAAATATAGAAATCTCAGCCACCATACTGGACCTCACCTAGTTCACCATATGCTATCGACCTGTAGGCTTAGAGAGCACTGGAAAACAGAATTAAGGGGAGACTTTATAGATCAGATGTCTGATCTGTCATTTACTTGTTACCACTGGTCAGTCACTGGCCTGAAGACTTATTTACTGAGACTAACAAGTATAATATAATCTTCTTTCATATAGGCTGACATACCGAACAGGTTTGAGATGAAACTACACAGAAATAATATTTTTGAGGAGTCCTACAGAAGAATCATGTCTGTGAAGAGACCTGATGTACTAAAAGCCAGGCTCTGGATTGAATTTGAGTCAGAAAAAGGACTTGACTATGGAGGTGTGGCCAGAGAATGGTTTTTTCTCCTGTCCAAGGAGATGTTTAACCCTTACTATGGTCTCTTTGAATATTCAGCAACGTAAGTGTCTGTTAAACTATTTCCATTTGTTAGGGACATCCATAAAGTTACCTGGAAGGGGGTCACCCTTCATGGGGCCTTGGTTGTGCTTTTACCAGTCAAACCCCTCTGTTCCGTACTATCATTTCATACTTGCTTTTCAGAGAACCTTTCAAATTGTCACTGAAGTCTCATAAATTGTTTCCATTATTAAGACAATATTCAGTGTTGCCTTGCTTGCAGCAAACTGCGATTTCTGCAGCGAGTCATAGTGAAAGGAGGGATGTCAGACAAAAGACTCTGCACCCTCCCGTTGCACTGTGCGACACCTGCCATCCCGAATTCTAGTGCTCCTGTATAATTAGCTCATAAAACAGCTTCTCATTTACATTTCAGTAGTTACACAGCAGTGGCCTTACATAAATTTAAATGTGATTTTGTCCAATTTTAAAATCTGTGAGCAATCCATTAGTATAAATGAGAGAGCAAGTCTCTTGCTTAAAGCAGATTTGTTTTAATACGCTGTCCGTAATTCCACATCTGTGCCTGGCTACCGCGAGGATGGATTTCTTCGCTGCAGGCAGTAGTTTTGATGGTTTTCTGTCAATACATAAAGCTCACTCCTTTCTCTAGTAAGTGTTGGACAGCCTGTAAGCAGATGAGCAAAGACTGCACGATGAGAGCTTTTTCTCGCGTTTGTGTCTCAGGAGAGACACGTTCTGCTGTTGAAGGGAGACACAAGGCTGAGTAGCGCAGCATGCCTGCGTGGATGCACATCTGGGGAGAGACAGGTCACTGCAGACATTTTAAATACGTTACTTCATTTTAGGGTCAGAAATCTAAATAGTTATTTTAAGAAGTAAGAAAAAACCCCTATGTCAAACCCCTGTATCTTTCTTCACAGATATGCTGCAAATTAAAGATGCTGCTTTTACCCTCGTGTCCTATTGTGACAAACACTTTCACACGACTCTTAGTGCTTTGTTAGCCAGTTAAAAGCTCTTAGTCCTTTGATGGCTTTTTGCAGTATCCGGGGGGTTAAGGGCATTGCAGAGGTGTTCTCTAGTGTGTGCAGCTTAAGATGCTAGGAAGGAGATGTTCTTTATCCTGGGGCAGTCAGACCATGTGCCTCTGCTTAATTCCTCTTCAGTACCTCCAGATATTTCAAAAATTATAAAAGCAGCTACTGAGAAAGAGAATCTAAAATTTTAAGCCCTGAAATTTGGCTGGAAGGAGTGAAAAATGAAGCCCAGCAAGAAGGCCAAACAAACAGTTTAGCTGAAATTCTCCTTCCACTGAACCCGATGGCAAAATCTCACCGTTTTCAGTGCTGCCAGGCTTTCCTCCTCTGCAGAGGTCGGCACAGCCCTCTGGCACTCACTACGGGTGGGAGCCCGTTACCCCAGGAGCAGGAGTTTTAGTTCCCTGGTTATGGCCGCGGCAGCACCAGCTCGGTGAGGGCAGCCTACACCGACTGCCAGGGGCTTCTGCTGAGAACAGAGAAATTACAGTACCACGCTCTGGCAGAAATGAACAGGAAATGGCCCTAAGCTCAAGTTATGTGTTCATGTATCTGAATATCTGGTTATTTAAAGACTTGGTTATTTAGATTTTTTTTTTCTTTCCCCAAAAAAGGGACAACTATACACTTCAGATTAATCCTAATTCAGGTCTTTGTAACGAAGATCATCTGTCGTATTTCACGTTTATTGGTCGGGTTGCTGGTCTGGCCGTGTATCACGGGAAGCTGTTGGATGGTGAGTTATTACACTGCATGGCTGTGCTACTGCTTCTGGATTCTTATTAAATGAAATCAATCACTTCAGTAATTCATATGCTTTAGAGTGCAAAGTCTGAGAGAAAGTAATGGAACTGTTGGAAATTGCATTCCTGATGTGAACGGTGATTCAAGAATTATAGTGTCTTACTCAACAAATACGTTTCATATCAAGTTTTGCTCCTTCCTCCACTCATGTTAAACTACAGAATCAGCATTGCTAAATAATCACCATCCCTAAAGGAAAACCACTAAATTTAAATCAGCCAATTCCATGCAGACCTGCAGCCAAAGCAGTTTGTGTGGGTGTCAGTTGCTGTGATCTGTAAAATTATTACTGAATGATTTAATGACAAAATCTGATTTCTGCCAGACTTTGCAATCCCACAATAAGCAAGCAAGGAAACCTTATAAACTGATCAAATTTTACTCAATGCTAGCGCAGCACATTAGAAGAGGAATCTCACTGTCCTGTTTCTGTGACGTCTCCTTTGTGAGGAGAATGGCAATTTTAAATGGATTAGAGCACCTTGGGCTCAATTCCACATCTTTTGTGTCTGTCTGCCATTAATGTTACGTTGTTTAATGGCATAATTCTTGTTATAAACCTCTTTCAGGAGGTTTCTTGCTTGCCGACACTCTAGGAAGTATCGCGGTGTGTTATCCTTGGGCTGTCTTTGGGCGAGGGAAGGTGCAGGACAGCGAAGGTAACGCTTCCTCTCTTTTAGGCTTCTTCATCAGACCTTTTTACAAGATGATGCTGGGGAAGCCAATCACTCTGAAGGACATGGAGTCAGTGGTAAGGTAACATTTAAACTGTACCAGCATTAGCAATTATGTGGGTTTTTTCCTCTGGGGAAACTGGTAAGAGCCAACAATTCCAGTAAAGTGCCTGGTGGAAGACACGAGGTCATAGCGGGAACTTCAGAAAGACGTGTACATACTTTTCTAATAAACCCTCCCTGGTAGGAGGGTGTTTCAGAACCAGTGTGCTAACAGTGGAGGGAGAGGAGACAGGAACAGCCCCGGTAGGAAAGGCAGCAGCAGGTGTCTGAAAACTGTCAGATTTTCCTCTGGGTCGGCCTGCTCCCCGGCACAGGCAGCACACCACAGCCCCACAGCTGCCTGGCGCGCTCTGGGGCAGCGCTTAGCTCTGCCCTGGCAATGCGGGTAATAATGCAACCACAAATCCATTAAGAAAAGTGACATTAACATTAACCTAAAAATACAGCATCTAAGGTACATACATATGAATAAAGAAATGCATCTTCCCCTGCTTTACAGTACCTGTGCAAGTAAACAAGTTCTTATCTTTCCCATTCCTCTGGAGTTAATTTTAGATGGTTTTTTTGTTCAATTTATAGGTAAACTGTACATCTAATGTTCATATTTTCAAACTTTAATTACAATCTGCTGTAGGATAGTGAATACTACAACTCTTTGAAGTGGATCCTGGAAAATGACCCGACAGAGTTGGATCTCATGTTCTGCATAGATGAGGAAAACTTTGGACAGGTATGTAAAGGCTTTCCCAAAAGTCCCTATCTCCATCTTATTACTGGTTATTGCCAAAGAGTAATTAAATACCAAGCAGCATCTCCTGGTTGTGAACTTGATCAGGACTGTTGAACATCAGTGATCAGTACAGGTGGATTGTGATTATTCGCCCTCCCTTTGTCCCTGAACTCTCCCAAGTCCGGGGATGCCGAGGGCTGGTCAGCGAGTGACACGGCACATCTGTGAACAGCCGTGCCTGAGGCTCCTAAAGTACTTGCAGTGAGGAGTAGTAAAGGTGTTACACACTCCATCGTAGAAAACAGTCTCAGCCTGGGACTGTTTGGGGTCCTGGAGGCTGAAGATGTTCTCAACAGATAAAGTAAATGGTAGAGTCGCCACCAGCGAGGTGCTTTGATTATAGTGTCTTGTACGTAACGCAGGCAGACGGCGCAGCAGAAGGCAGCACGCCTGTTTAAAAAGGTTTGCAATCTGCTTAACTCTCCATTACAAATGAAAACTCTTAAGTAAGTTTTAACAATTGAGAAGTAGGTGCAACAACTCATTGTCCAAAATCTTAACTCATTTTATCAGTAGAAGCTGTAACAACAGCTTGGGTACAGTTTGCCTTGGATGGACAGTCGGTCTTTACAGAGAACCCCACTGAAACCAACTCGGAGATCTGTGTCAGCTTCTGGAGGGAAAGAACTTGGGTGCAGATAAATGTGGTGTACAGATGTGTTAATTTCAGGACTTAAAAGCAAACACACCATGGATTTGTTTACATGGCCTGACATGGCTGGGGATTTTTTATTTATAAGCTGTGGAGCTGAACCGTTCTATGATGTGTGCATACACACAGTGACTAAAACACACCGGCTTTGTGTGGAGTAGGGACTTCACAATGCCTACCTGTGTCTCAAATTAATTTGTTTATAGGCTTTTATGACCTTTTTTTGTGTCGTCACTTTGTTTAACTCTTAGACCTAGACATTTTGGCTCCAGGTACCATTAGTATTGTCAGCCATGGTGCCTTCTTTAAAAGCTCACTTCAGAATTTCAAAACATGCCCACAATGTGCTGTCAAGAACATTCTGATCCACTTCTCAGTGCTTATTACTCTGTTCCTGAACCAACATAAAGTTACCAGTTAGATGGAAAATTAGGGAAAACATTGAAGACACAGGGTGAAAAGTTTCTGCAGTGCACTGGGTTGTTTGTTGGTAATTTCCATTATCTTCTCTTCTGTAATGGTTTAGCTTCAAATTATTGATAGCCTTTCACTGCCAGCTTTCCCTCCTGCTGGCTGACTCAAATCATAAATCAGCTTACTTGGAGATGCTTTCTGCTCTTCTCCTGACTCTTTAGTACCTCAGATAGCTGGTTCTGGCACTGCCGCCACAATTGATTTCTGTTTAATTTACAATAGATGCATCTGATTCCAGAAGAAAGTAATGTTGTTTCCATCCTACTGCTGGTGAGATGCAGAACTGGCATGACAGATTTTATCAGAGAAACGCCCAAATAAGCTCAGCAGGGCGTGCTGTAGCGAGGAGGCATTTGCCCAGCTGGGGACTGAAACACCCGCAGCAGCTTTCCAGCAGTCCGGAGTTAGGGCAGGAAGAGCCTACGCCGGCTTTCTCTCGTGTGCCCCCGGCCACTGCCGGCGCTCCAGGCACTCCCAGAGGTTGAGGGACCCAGACTCGCTGCCGGCTCTTGGTTTATTACTGAAGCTTCGTAAAAGTGCCCTTGGGAGGCTGAGTGGGAGATGACAGCGATTCCACAGGGACACTGGGGGTGGAAGAGGGAGGTGCCTGCGCTGCCGTAGCTTCTGTATTGACGTTCATCACCAAAACCTCTTCCAGACTTGGAGAAAAACAAGAAAGCTCTAATAAATCTTATCTTCTTACTGCCCTTAATAACCAAAAATACGGGTTTGGTGGTTCTCACAAGTCAGTGAGAAATACACAGCAGGTATTTCCAATGTGTGAAGGATGGAGAGCTGTCTTCAGAAAGCAGAGAAAGAAAAGGTCTGTATTTCCCCTGAGTTCTTAATGGCTCTGGAATACCATTTCTCATTTCTTAAAGCAGTGCATCTTCTGGCAGGCAGGAAGAGGCCAGCCCCGGGCAGCCTGTTTGTGCTGCCGTGTCTGGGACCTTCCTTGCCCTGCCCTAAGTTTGGCAGTAGAGCAAACCTTTTCCTTACTAGGCCTGAACCATCTTCCCTGGTCTTTATGGAATGAATAAGCCAGTGTTTCAGAGGTGTGTAGGTTCCCTATGAGTTACTTTTCCTTAACAGTATGGTCATCTTTTCTGTACAGTAACAGGCACATTTATTCCAACCTCTTGTGCTGTTTTTCTCCTTGGAGCATTCAGTGTCCATCCAGTCCTGGAAAGAGCTCTCCAGCCTCCTCCTCCTCCTTAGCTGATGAATTTACTGTCTTACTGTAACTCAACATCTGATTTAATCATTAAAGATTAGTAACCCTGGCACAGGCTTTTGAGGCGATGGAGCAAGTTGACTGGCACAGAGTAACGACTTGCACACAACAAAATACTTGACCTCCCTCCTCTCGTGCCCGTGAGGAGCACACCCAAGCACCCGCTTCACCATTAGTTAATCCACGCTCGTGCCTGTGCCTAGACACCAGGGTCTGCAGCCAGAGAAATGCTGCTTCGTAGCCACAGCTGGGGGGCACTAGCTGGTGAAAGCTGCCAACTTTTAGCCCAGCTTTAATTCTGTAAATTCCTACTGGTAAATCACTGTCTGCAGAAATAAACACGTTATCTGGACTTGCTGTAGTTCCTTGTAAAGCGTAACACGTTGGGTGTTTTCAGTCTCCTTAGCAAATCTGTTCTCAGCCATTTCTGTAAGCTGTTTCTCTCCTTTACTCTTTTGGCCTTTTTATTGTTTCCCTGTGGATTTTAAGTAACCGTTCTTTTTCAAGCATTTTGAAAAACCAGACAACCTTTTTCTACCCATATTAAAATGGAACGTATGTTTTCTTTACCCAGATGAACCCGCTCTTCAGGACTGAAGGTTTGCTTTAGAATGGTTTGCTCACTTGCTAGTGATTATAATCATTATTTTGATAATTTGTTCCTAATGGTGCCATCTTTAAACGTGGGATGTTTCAATGTCTCATTAGCTATTATAGCATAATGATTTTCTGATACCACTTGTACAGGGCTGCTCAAGGAGAGCTGATTGTGTGAGCAATGTGTCCTGAAATAATGTCCTGTGGTGTGTTTTGTTTCTTTTCTTTCGAATACAGACATATCAAGTCGACCTGAAGCCAAATGGGTCAGAAATCATGGTAACAAATGAGAACAAAAGGGAGTACATTGAGTACGTATATACATTTATGGAACTTATCCTGAGTGTAAGAAAGCACAGTTGTCTTAGAACTTACCCTGCAGCCATTGCTGGAGTTTGTACAACGCCGGATCATCAGAGATCCTTTTAAACACAAATCTTCTTGTTAACGTTGTTTATACCCTAATCCTTAGAAAGTCCTGCATTTTAACCTTTACTGTTCTATAAATTTCAGTGATCAGGGGAGTCTGTGATGTGATAGGGAAGTTACTTTCTTGATGGGTAGGCACAAGGAAGGTTCTAGAATGGGTGGGATTGCTCTGAGTAGCAGAGATTTGAAAATAAGTGGCACCTCTTGGATGCGACACTCGTCACGTTAACGCAGATGGACATGGGGTACCCAGCTCTGGGGGCAGATTCTGAGGCGGTGATGAATTTCCCCGCTGGGGTTTGCAGTTTTTCCTGATGAACTGCCAGGTCACAGAATGCAGATGTGTGCAGACCTGAACACTAAACTGGATTGAGAAAAAAGACTAAAAATAGGATGTCTGTGGTCTTAAGGAAGAACTCAGGAACTCTGTAAATGTTTAATCATTTCTCTACGGAGAACTTTGTACTTGCTTGTTAATCTCATTTGCAGGGTTGTGTTACAGTGATTTGGCTGTAATGGTGGAACAATACCAAATCTCTGCTTTTATGATTTTTTTTCATTACTTTGTATAACATTTGCACCGCCAGCTCTTTGATTTTTCAGGTGTGTCTTTCAGTTTTCAGGTGCAAAATCCTAGACATCATGAACTCTTTTTATCCCCATCATAGTGCAGAAACTAAAAGCTCTGAAAGCGTGTGGGCCAAAATTCAGAACGGAGTCAGGTTTATATCTAGATAATTCTTTTGTGGCTAGTCACAGTATTTTTGTAACCTGAGGGTCAACACTTGGATGCTCTTATTTGGAAATTATTAATGCAACTTAAATTTTAAAAAATATTTGTCCCCAGAATTTCATTATGAAAGAACTTGTCTAGTTGTTATACTTTAAGAAAAAACAAACAAAAAAGCCCAAGAGCACCACCACCACTGTTTGGTTTTGCCTCTGTGTCCTAACACCCAAATGATGCATTCTCATGCACATATAGTGCTTAGATGCAGAATTATTGTCCAATAGAGAATCTGGTGGTTTGTTTACATTATTTTATTATGTAATACTTACTGAAAAAAAAAAAGGTAAATAGATCAACTGACTAAAGAGCTGCTACTTAAAAATCAATGTTATTTCTTGCAGCATTATGAGAGAATCCCACTAGGAGTTTTCTAGTACCTGTCAAATGAACAGTATGCAGTGCTATAATGCTGCCTTGGAAAATTGTTTATATAACACCGGCCAACAGACAAACAAAAATAGAGTAAATTAAATTAGCTGCTTGTTTTTTTGAAATCCCCACACAGGAAGCCTGGCTGGACGCACGGCAGTTAAAATGAGCTGGAAGTGCTCCGCAGTGAGGCATCGTCCCCGCTGGTCACACAGAGCAGAGCCCCCACTGCAGGACCAGCCTTGCTATCAAAAACTGGCCAAATCTTAAATTATGTTTACACTCCCTCAGTTTTTCTGCCTACTAGAATGCAGAATAATAAATTCAAGTATACTTGCTGGCATTTTTAATTAGGGCCTCTTCAAAAGTGAGAAAAACTATAATTGCTGTATTGATGCAAATGAGGAATGAAGCATGCTTCAGCAGGAAAGGGATTTGGCAAGCACTGTTCTAGAACCTGGTTAGCATTGCAATACAGGCCTTTGCCTTTGATACTGCAGGTTTCATTCATCTGTTTATTTATAGGTGGACTGTTACAGGTCCGTCCTCAAATTTTGTAGACTTTGGGAATTGTTAATTACTCGGCTCCGGAAGAATAAAATGTCGAGTCACTGAGGTAGCTCATCCTAACGGTATCGGCCCCATTTAGAGAGCAAGCAGAGCACAGGGTTTGTTGGTGGTTTCAGTCCCCAGGGAAGCCTCTTTGCAGTGTCCATCTGTGAGTTCATCTCCAGAAGGTTCACACAGATGACATGACAGCGTTACGTTAAGGAATTCTCGGTGATGTAGAAGAGCCATAGCTATAAGATGTGTGTGTGGAGTTCGTGTTGCATGTGAAAGTGCAAATACTTGTACAATCACTTGTTCAGAGTCACTGGGGGTTTTGCAACAATTCAGTCACACAAGATAAATCTGTGCAATTAATAAAAAGCTGCTCAATTTCCTTCACATCAGAGTGTGGTTGGGAGGTGCTGAAGCTGCAAATGCTAAAATCACGGAAGGCTTAGTCTGCTGGTTTGTAATGTGCATGTCTGTGGTTTTGTTTATAGCCTGGTCATCCAGTGGAGGTTTGTAAACAGAGTTCAGAAGCAGATGAATGCTTTCTTGGAGGTAAGTCTCTTCAGCTGCCTTTATTTTCCCCTCACATAATGATTTTTTTAATGCAGAGTTCTGTGTGTCGGTGTTCAGGGAGGGGGGAGCTTTGCGTAGCCACACTGGTTCTGGAATGCTTACAGCTTATGATTTCCCTGGTTTACCTTGTGCAAGAATGTACAGTCTTACCCTTATGAGAAAAAGGTAATTCTCTTCCAGGCTTAAATTAACTGAGCTTGAAATAGTTTAGTGATGAATCTTTTAAATTAGGGACTCGGTACTTCAGCAATTGTGTATTTCATTTGCAAAACCCTTCCTTGTCCTCCATTGTTTACTTGGGTTCCCTGAAGGCAAAGCCTGTTAGATAGAAACTTAATTTTACACAGTATGAGAATTTTAACTTCTCTTCGCTTTCTTTTAGGGATTCACAGAACTTCTTCCTATTGATCTGATTAAAATTTTTGATGAAAATGAACTAGAGGTGAGTTTGATAATTGATGTCCAGAGAACAGATCAGTGATGCTCATCACAGAAAGATGTGTTATGTTCTAGGCTCATCCTAAGTGAATTTGCAGACAAGGATGCTTTGTTTATAGTGGGAAATGAGATTTTTTTCTCTAATTCATAAATATATTGATCCTATAAAAGCACAAAAAACTTATTCAGTGAGGTGGATGAGTATGTGCATATAAAGGCATGTGTGTAGCTTGCAGAATTCATGCCCTATGCCTGTACCAGCCCTATTTTAAGCAAAATGCCACAACAGGTGCACTTGCACATCATAGTGTATGGTGTTTCTCCAGTGCAGTGAAATATTCTTTGGGAGTTCTGGAGAGAACTTTGAACTCTCCTTTATGTTTGACCTTTTAAACAGCAAAGCAGTACAGATATAAATGCAAACAGAAGTGTAACCTTGTTTTTCTGACAGTGTAGAGTAACCCAATACCACCCAATTAACACCATAACAATTTACTTCTACCTGCAGTTACTGATGTGTGGCCTTGGCGATGTTGACGTTAATGACTGGAGACAACACACAATCTACAAAAACGGTTACTGCCCCAACCACCCCGTGATCCAGTGGTTCTGGAAGGTAAGACTCTTCTGCCACAGTGGGCTTCTCTGCCTGTTCCTAAGAGTGAAAGCTGCTGTACTGTTCTGTGGAACCTGGCATGAAATCTTTTTTCTTCATGCCAACTGCTGAGGAACACGCCTGTGTCTGTTGGAGATGGCGGCTGTGGTACTCCTTTGGACTAGAAATAGACCTGAGAGAGGAAGTCACATCTTTGGTTTTACCTGAAGCTTCCTGCAGTATTTGTGAAGTTAAAATACTTTTGTGACAAGTGTATGTCCCCAGAAAAACTCCTAAAATACTTTTTCCCATAATAGCCATAGATTTTCCAAAGGGATGTCTGTTTTTCTTAAAAGTACAGGAATCTTACAGCTTTGTGTCTGGGTCTCGTGTACCCTTTTCCTGCGCAGGGGTGGTTGACATGAAGACCGTGTACCTGTGCCCGTGCTGTGCTGTAGCACAACACCCTTCCCTTCTCTGCAAACCTCCACGACACCTGCCGGGCTCCTCCGCCCTCTCCCCACAGTGCCTTTCCTGTCACAGCACGCCCACTGGGGGTGACCTGACCCCCACCCTTCCGTGGTGACTGTGTCTGTCTGTCTGTCAACAGGCCGTTCTACTGATGGACGCTGAGAAACGGATTCGATTGCTGCAGTTTGTGACGGGGACGTCGCGCGTGCCTATGAACGGATTTGCTGAACTTTACGGTGAGCTTCCCCCACGGCTGGACAGCCCCTCGCTGAGCACCACTGACGCTTAGTCACAGCCAAGGATTCTCGTGGGGGGCACGTGGAGGCGGAGCAAAGCGTTAGACACCCCGGGTGTTAGGTAGATGCTGTCCTCGCTCCCAGGCCAGCTGCCCACAGAGAAACGTTTGAGTTCCACGAAGAGGAGAATGGGTGTTTAACCCAGCACTTAGATTTTACAATGTTAACTTCTGAGTTTACTACTTCTGCTTTACACAGGCTTTACACAAAGGTAGTCAGAGAAACCTGACAAGCTGACTGCTCTTGGAAAAAAATAAACTCCTGTTTGCTTCAGTTTTAATTGCGAGGGTTTGTACCAGGTATTTTGTGCCAGTTTAAAAATCCAGCCTACAATTTATGCAAACATTTAAATAGTATTTTTAACATGAAGTAGTCTCTGTAGTGTCCAGCAATTTACATTTCATGTGATTTTTATTTTCAGGTTCAAATGGTCCTCAGCTGTTTACAATAGAGCAATGGGGAAGTCCTGATAAACTGCCCCGAGCTCACACATGGTGAGTTATTAACTACGCCCGTCCCTTCCGCAGTGTTGCACGGCCAGCGAGGGGGAACCACTGCTCGTAGCTCTGATCACACACCCCTGGAGGCAGTGGGGGGCTGAACCCTGTTCTGTTTATAAATGCCGGTTGTTTGGCCTCCCCATGGAGAGGTGAAAGGCTGCATGAACAGAAGGTGTAGGGAATGGAATCCACTATCTACTCTTTCCACCACAGCCTTGTTAATGCTATTTTATTGTATTCCAAGTGACCCTTTCACCTCAGGCCTTTTCTTCTAGTAACTGCTCTCACCATCATTTTCCATTATTTTGTTTTTCCTCATCCTGGTAAGTGGTATAACAAACTACAGAAAGTCTGACATAACAGAACATAGCCCCAGAAAGCCATGCTAAAGGCCATAAATTGTCAGACAATTTGCTAAAAATGTGAAGTCAGAAGCTGAATTACATAATTTAGTCCTAATTTATAGAATTAGCAAATGTTGAAAGCATTTAATACAAATGTCTTACTCTGTTGTGTGTGAAGATGATGGCTTTAAGGTAACTACATTGTACTGTGTAGGAAAAATAATTTAGAACATTAGTACAGAATGATGATCTTTCCATAAAAATAATCATTCTGCAGAGTCAAAAGTTTAATTTTACAGACCTTTTCAAGACCTCCTTTTGGATGTTTATTCTTCTTTTCCCCCAGAGGGTAGAGGGTCTGTCCTGTGGAGTCAGAACATCTTTGCTGAGCCTTAGGGAACCAGCCTTTTGACAAGAGGACGTGTTTTCAGTCAGCTGAATGCTGGGGGCTGTCTGGTGGCTTCCGACGCTGCCTGCGGGAGCACAAGCGTTAGCTCAGTGTGGAGTGGACACCGTGGAGATTGCCCCTGTCTGGGCAATAAGATACATTCTCTGCTAGGGCCCCCAATAATTTAACCTTTTCTACTTTAAAAAATTGTGTGTATTTTGCAATGGGTTATTAAACGAGCCTTTCCCTTCTAAATTCCAGCTTTAATCGCCTAGACTTACCTCTTTATGAATCTTTTGAAGATTTGCGAGAGAAGCTCCTCATGGCAGTTGAAAACGCTCAAGGGTTCGAAGGAGTGGATTAAAAGGTCGACTTTCTCCCCCTCCAAGCACGTTCTGCTTGCACTTTCGCCTCTGCCGAGGGACTGGGAGCGGGTGTGGCAGGACGGTTGCCCAGCGCTGCCCGGGGCAGAGCCCGAGCGGGGCTGCCGCCAGGGTGGCTCCTCCGCAGCCATCACCCACCGCTGAACACGGACTCGGATCACATTTCAGCAGGACTTACTCTATTTATGTCGTGCCTCTGTAGGCAAAGTCCTTAATAAATATTTTACATAATTTCTAATGACAATGAATGGAATTAATCATTTTACAGGTATAGTATTACAACTCATGTTTACTTTTTAATTGATTTAGACATTTTCAGATTTTATTTCGTTACAATTAAATATCATATACTTGGAAAAATGAGCATTTTTCTTAATTTCATACCAGACTTGATGCCAGTGTCATTTTTTCAAAGCACATTTTGAGCCTTGTGTTCCCAAACCATTAAGAAAGTAGGAGAAAGCTACGTTGGAAATGTTCTCTACCTGGGCTGTGTATCGAGAGCAACTCTTTCCATTGAGCACATAAATATTTTTCTGTCTCCAGAAGTATGGACTGGATGTTGCATTTTTGTATAAATATTAGAATAGTTACAAGTCAAGGGAGAATCATAACATAGCATGCCAAATCTCATGTTCAATAAAGAAATTGCCTCATTATTGGTAATATCTACATGTACTATGAAGCATTTTGGGGTAGGGTTGGCATTAATCACTTTAGGAAAATATGCTTAACCCTGTCATTATCTTTGTATAGTGATTCTTTTATGATCCTTTCCTGTTTGCAAGGGAGGCATTCTGAGCGAAACCTGGCACTGTGGAAAACGGATCTGGTGTGTCTCCTAGCTGTATGCATTTGCTAATGATACCGAAATAACAACGGGGTTTTTGTTTGTTTCTAACTGCACCAACTCTAAAGGCACTTTATGTAACACATGGAAGTCATATCTGGTTTTTATCATAAACCTTAATGTGATTATATTCCTTCTCACTGCACATGTCTTTCTGGTGCAATATCTATCAATTGTGAATTTGGCTGCTGCTGATGTATAAAAGGAAAAAAACAACAGATGTAGAGCTGAGCCTGCAGACATGTTCCTCAGCAACTGTTTTTGTGATTTATTTTTTACTTAATCACAAAGATTTATTTAATATACACTGCTATCTAATCAATTTTGTTACCTATGACATGTTGCATGCTTAAACTATAATGTCTGAGTTGCATCTCTTTTGTGACGGATTAAAAGTGAAAGATTCGTATGTGATCCCCGGAGGTTAAGTGATGACAGCACTGCTGGAGGAGGTGTGAGGGTGCAGCCTCAGCAATTGAACCTGCGCTTCTGTAAGTTTTGCCCATGCACTTACCCATAGGCCGGCTTTTGCCCCCGGAGCCCATCTAAGGCTTAGGAAGGAAGATGACTCCACATGCCACGGCCAGATCTCCCCTCCTCACCAGCAGCTCTTTCAGCCCCCCGGCACACAGAGCCCGTGTCAGAGCACGCAGCCACACTGCAGAAACCTTCCTCCATGGACAGGTCGCTCAGGAGGCTCCTGGGATGAAGCCTTGATGCTAAAAACCTTCTCAAACAGTTGTGTGCCAACAAAAGGGTTGAACACCTAATGATGCACAAGGAAGGATATTTTATTATTTGAAGACAGGTTAAGAGTCACTTTCTGTCAAATACCTTTCCTGACATTCCTTTGACTCTTCACATTTGAGGAGAGAAGAGATAAACACAGCACTGAGCATCCCGCTGGGGGAAGGTGAAGAGTGTGAGGCAAACCCAGGTCTCACCATTGCCCACCTGTATGTTCCGCACAGCTGGCAGTAACAGACTCCCTGAGGGAAGGGTCCTCCTGGAGCTCCTGAAGTGACATTTGTAAGGTCTTTCTAGGAAGAGGTAGCCAAGTGTCATTTACTTACTTGGAACACTCGGACCACAAAGCAGCTAACGCTGCCGCAGTATAGCGCCTTAACACAGGACACTCGTGCACTGACAGTGCAGCCTCCTCCCTACGACATGGCCCAACAGCATTTGTAAAGGTTCTCTTCAGCTACTTTGGTTAATAAATAATAAATCATAAAGGTGGTACCTAAACCATCACTTGTTTGCTCTTGAGAAGCCTTAAGGTGAATATTTCATGAAGATGTTAGTCACAGTTTGAGCAGCTGTGCCCTGCCCTGTTGTACTTGCTGGGCACCGGCCCCCTTCCTTCTCTCCTTGCACGCTGCTGCTCATCTTTCAGTCCAAAAGTAACAAAAGAAACCCAATCAACTCTGTTAGCACAAGCTTTAACCTATCTCTGTCTTTGATGCTGACCTGTGAATCGCGAGCGAGAGGAGCCGAGCGCTGCACTAGCATGGCACGAGCTCATGAATCAATTCGAGGGAGCTGCTGTCACCGCTGCGCAGCCAAGTGCTCAGCCCTGTCACACCACGCAGCGTTCAGCCCGCTGCTCCCGCTCTGCCTCAGGCGCTTTGTGTGACACTAAAGGGACACCAGGGAGGGCAAACAGGAGAGTAAGACCATGCTTTTAAGAGGTAAAAAATAGAGGTGATTGCAAGGGCTAATTACCACTATATAGAATAAAAGGTGGATCACCAGACTGGACATCCTAAAATGTACATTAATTTCCTTTTTAATAAAAGCTTTTCCTTTTGCACGTAAAATTACAAAGAAAAATCTCTCCAGTTCACCCATCTGTTGTGATGTTGCACTAAGACTAACGCATGGGAAACTCCTGGAACTGGAATCTAACCGCATTAACGTCCCACAGCCCTGGGGTGTCACAGCACACTGCCAGCCCTCTGCTTGTCCACGCTCACCCTCCGCTTACACCCCAGGGTTCTGGCCTTTGCTAGGTTTTTTTCATAGACTTTTTTTTTTCCTTAATTTTGTAATACATCACTGTAAAGATAGACACAGTATGCACCCACCTGCGATGGCACACGTGTTGCATTTTTACACTTTAATCCGTTCTACTGGCCAGCCCTCCGGCTCCACTGCCCCTTTGGCACAACCACACACAGTAAACAGGTTACAAGTCTCAAAACTCCAACGGAAAAACTCCTGAAAACAATGCAGCTGTGTTCTGTGTTTGTGAACATAAACTTTAAATCAAATTTACCACTGAGAGATTAATAATACTTCCAAGCATGTAAAAGTATCAAACATTCCAGACTAAATTCACACTGTTTAATAATATTTTCTTTTGTAAGATCACCTCATACTAGGTGGCTATTCAAAATTATGATAAACTACCTTAACACTGATTTTAAAATTACTACTTAGAAATAATGCTCATTTTCACACTTAATACAGCTTTAAACTGTGGTTGGATTTGATACACTGTGGGGAAAGGATTTGTTTATGGATAAAAGTCATTTTTCCATTTATTTTCTGAGGAGCAGCAAAAGAAACTGTAGTTTGTTTTCCTGACAGCAAAAGCGCAATGTGACAAAACGAAGTTGTAATGAAATGATGCGACTTAATTAAATATTTAATAAAGAATTACGGAAGCTACAGCATTTTATACTTCAAATACGTTTTTGTCCACTGAAGCTTTGTTCTGTTAATAAAAAAATACTGTTGTAAGGTCATAATTTGCAGGAAGGCTCTAACAACCCAGGTGTGGTTGGGGGGGCCCACATGCAGTCACTTCTGTACCTGATTTGGTTTTAAGTGATTAAACACACTATCCACATATTCCAGATTCCTTAGAAGTGGTTCCCAAGTTTTCCCCAGGATCCTCACCACTTCCATGAAACAGAAACGTGTATCATGCTTTCAGCAGAATAAGCATATCCCGAAGTGCCTGCAGAAGGCACAATTCAAGGTAACTTTTATCTATGAGAATTTGAACAATCAATGCAGGTTAGCGATTATGCAGTGTTCTCTAAAGAAGTGTCATTAGGTAAAATACAAAAATTGCACATCTCCTCTGTTCCATCATCATTTCCTCTACAAGAACTGCAACACTCCAGAATTCCAATTTAGGAACAGAACTCATGGAATTCTGAAGTGACCACACCAAGCAGCTCACTTACAGCTTTTCCTTTTTAAGCCACACCTGAAATAAGCATGAACATTCTATCATTTTATTGCATATCTTCTACCTTTACAGCAGAATTTCCTGCAGCACACAATAACATCAGTACTACAAACAAAATATTCCCTGCTTACAACAAACTCAACGTTCAGTTTAACAACGCAAGTCTACACATTAGTGAAGGTTTTGATTTTCAGTGTCACAATTCCAACGCTGTAGCACTAAGAACAACTTATTAAAAGCAATGGAACTAATGTTGCCATTCTACAAATGCCTAAAAAAACAACCAACACAAAAATGTATCACCAAGAAACCCCCATGAAAAAAAAAAAACTAGCAAAAAAACCCAACCAACTGCCACAAGTCATATTTCTGACTTAACAGCTCTCTTCAGCACTACAGTACATTCTCCTCAGCTAGAATCAGTGCATAAGAGAGTTGCAGATGGACTAAACTATCTGTTAGTCTTAAATGCAGAATGAGTAGGTAACAAATTGTCTCCCAGCTTTTGAGCTTCACAGGAAGCAAAACCTACACACAACTCTGATCTGACTTGTGCTAATACACATCCAGGCTCATGTAACAGACTCTTGCAGCTACTTTCAGCTGCATTTGGCTGAAGAAAACAAAAAAAAGGAAGAAAAAAAATGGGTTAAAAAAAGAGGCACACCACCACCACCCACTTAAGCAAGTACCCAGGAGTTCAGGAACTGCAGAGGAAACAAGGGTGGCCAAGGCGAGGAGGCAAAAAAGAAATCCCTCAACCCAGAAACCCCCCCCCATCAGGAATACTGTTCAGCTTCCAATAGCCTGGCTAGCCGATACAGATCCTGTCACCAGGAGCTCCCCAGTGCTGCCACATGACCTCTTAAAGCCAGCCAACACCAGGTCCCTCAGCCTGTTAACTCGGGTTTGTAACCACGTTAGCTCTGTGCACGTGTGTGACGTTGTGGCACATCACCTCCACTTGCAATGGCAGCATTACTTACACTGCCTTACTAATTATCGCACCAGTCTCTTTACTGTTCAGCTACATCAACAACCCAAAGCAGCAACTGATTTGTCTTTTATAAACTCTGTTTGTGCCCATCTGTATTTTCTCCTCCCAGGCAGCCAGGCGACATGTTTCCAAGCTAATATTGCAGCCTCCCTTGTGCAGAACTAACTCCGCTGTATCGTTCATGTACTCATTTACATGAACAAACATCTCTGCAAAGTGACAGCTCTGTAATGCTGAAGCACAGCATTAACCAGCACTCTCCACAACAGAGGTCTAAAACCAAACAAAAACCACCTCCACATACAACATCTCTTCCAGTGATACCTAAGTGTTTATTAACATTTTGGCATAGTTACATCCCGTAGGTTTCAAAAAAAAAAACCAAACCACCACACAATACAAAACCACAGGAATTCCATTTGTGTTTCTAATTGGAAATGAAAAATAAATTGTGGCAAGATAGTGTTCTAAGTGGCTAAAGGATGTCTGTGCAAATCCTTACCACACGCCATTTGTATATAGCTACTAAGGTTTTGTTGCCCTTGAGACACAAACAAATAAAAAACCCCAAACATGTCGATATATTCAAACCCCAAATCAATTCCTATGTATCAACAATACTCCGTAGTCACCCGTAGGAGACGCTGCAGTAACTGTATTAGCAGTGCATACGTTCATACTTCCAGCCCTGAAACTTGGTTGTTTCCTGCCCTGCCATGGGAAAAATCCTACACTATCCAAATTAATTCCTTTTCCTTTTTAAGCTTGCTGTCATTAATAAAAACAACCATATCAGATCAAAATAAAGGTCCAGCTGGACAAATATCTATTTTGCAAATTCTGCCAAAACAGCTTAAGAGTCAGCAAACAGCAGCGCATTGAGCAAACACACTCCCAGACGTGGCTGATGTGCAGCTCAAGGACCTGCTACGGTGGTGGTGCCTTCCTCTTCTTTGCACATGAATAGCCATATAATTCAAATATATTTTTTAAAACAATAGTTTCTGGTGTCGTGAGAAAGTCTAGAATTTACAGCTGCTTGGGCACAGTGTCCGTGATGGTTTCTCCCTTTGTTTTGAACCTGACACCTCCTCTTAGCTGTCCATCCCTGGGTTCCCCAGACACCTCTTGCTGTCTCTGGCTGGGCAGCGGGAGGTCTCTGGCTTCCTCCACTTCCCTGCAGCAGGGCTCAGAGCAACACCCCTGCAAACTGCT